TGATTTCTTATCTTCACTTCCTACTAGTTGTACAACTGTCAAGTTACATAAGCTCTCTGGGTGACACATTAATCCCACTGCAAACTGAGGAACATCAAGTATCTACCTCAAATACTGTATGCCCTATAAATATAATCTATGTTAAATCCCACATGTAAATAGTAAATTAGATGTCAATGACATAATATTTATCATTTTTCCAAAATGACTGCCAACTAATCAAGAGGAAAAATAAGAAAAGGAAAAAAGGACAAACTAACAAATTGACATTAGAATTTACCCTGAGGAAAGAAACATGGGTATACACAAGGATTTTTCTACCAGGATATTCATGACACTACGTATTTTAGTAGTAGAAACCTGGAAAACTGAACAAGGACTAATTATGCATGAATATCAAAATCAGTTTTATACTAGACAAAAGTATATATAGTCTAGAAATAAGTAGAATTATATAAAGCATTCCTAAATTTTACCAACCTACACCTTAGTTTAAATTACAACATGGAGAAACAAAAGAGCGAGCAAAAATAATTACAAATACTTAAAAAAACACAATAAATTATAGCTAATTTAATTCATACCTGTATTAAAATGAGTATGAATTTATACATTCTTATATACTTACAGCAGAAAAAAATTGAAATCATAACAATCTATAGAATAGATAAAAAAAATTTTTAAGTAAATTAAAATAGAATGTAGTATAAGATAGTGTCAAACATAAGAATAGCAGAGATTTTCTGAAAGACAGCTATTGCCAAACATGTAGAGACAAATTAGTACAACTTTTTTAACCAACAAAAAAATAACCCATGCTATCTATCGATTGTCTTGGTGTGCACTGACTGGCTGTCATAAAGCATACTGACAGACAGTGTGCCATGAAGCTGGATATGCCTGAGCCTATCGCTAGCCACTGTGACTTTCTGTCAATGACCTAATAACTCGAGAGTGATTCTGCTCCACCTGCCAGAGCTACACTATGGCTTCAGAATTCTGTGACACTTTTTTTTTCAGTACAGGAATTTGAACTCAGGGCCTTTACATTGAGCCACTCCACCAACCCTATTTTTGTAAAGGGTTTTTCAAGATAGGGTCTCGTGAACATTTTGCCTGAGCTGGCTTTGAACCACGGCAATCCTACTGATCTTTGCCTCCTGAGTTGCTAGGATTACAGGTGTGAGCCACAGGCGCTTGGCTCTGTTTCACTTCTAAAAGGAGCTACTGACAGTGCTTGCACAGGATTTAAACAGACAAATGACCTCACTGCACTATTCTAAATCTGAGTGCCGGAGAGCATTAAGGTGCTAATGAGGATAATTTCACTTAAGCAAGTCACTGAATGTCCAGTCATTATGTTCTCAGTAAGAATTTGGAATTATTAAGCTAACAACTCTAACACCAGACAATGGCTGTAGCATGTAAAGCTTCTTAAAGTGCTCTGATTACGCACTGTTCCCCAGAACAGGAACTGCTCTTAGTCTCTGGTGCACAGAGTGGGACTGCAGGCAGTGAGGCTCAAGAATTCAAAGGTTGTCCTTGGTTGCTTCACCCTTATTTAACTCTTAAACTCATCTAAATATTCATAATCAGATGAAATGCTATCAAAGAAAAGAAAGTGTGTCTTATATTCTGAAAGGGTGAAACAAAGGAAGAATGGGAAAAAAAGAAATTAAAATATTGACTGGTCATAAATTTAAACTAAATCCTAATCATTTTATCTAGCAAACAACTAAATTGTCACTAAGTTCAGAATGCTATAAGATAAATACTACGCAAAGACAGGTTTAGGATTAGAAATTTTTAAATTGGAATCAGAACACAATTTGGCTATGATTTAAAATTCCATGTAATTGGAGGGGGTAAGAAGCTATGAATTACTACCACTAAAATATGTCTGAAATATCCATTTCAGATATAAATCAAAGCATCTCAATTCATGCTGAGAGTTTTAACTTTTTTAAAGATTCTTTTCCCTTTTCTGAAAAATGCTCAAATATATCTCCATGTATTTTACATTCTTTTAAAGGGAAGGCCCCTGAAATAATATTTCTAAGCAAGTGTTCTTATAATTCCAATGGATTTGATTTTGTATACAACATGTCAAATCTACAACTGAAGATTTTATCTTTAGAATTAAGTATCTAGTCTTAGGGCATTTTTGCCAGTTAGCGCCACTGACACCTACCACTGTATCTACCAGTAAGATTGTTCTAAATGTTACCACTCTCCCCAGGCATTTACAGATACTCAAACATAGTAGCACTGTCTAAACATTAGCAAGAAATTTTTTCATTCTGCTGGACTTGTGGTTCAAGCAGTAGAGCACCTACCCAGCAAATGTGGAGCCCTGTGTTCAAACCCCAGTTTTGCCAAAAATTAACATAAAAGAAAAGAACTGATAAATTATAACTGATAGAATTTGCTGAGTACCAGTGGTAACTGCAAGAGACAGGAATGATCCTGGTCAAACCTATTTTATGGTATGTCATCATCTTTATGAAAGTGATTACTACATTTTCTTTTACCTTTGGATTACAGATTCCTCTCAGGTATGAGAAGATTTGGCATACTTAATACATCTAAGTCAACTAAAATCAGCATTGTATTGGTAACTTACAACTCTTCATGACGTAGGAGAAACACCTTTTCAAGACAAACTTTAAAGGTTTATTTTGTCTGATATCATTTCCTACAAAATAAACTACAAAATGAAGAAAATTGGGGGTGGGGGATACACACATACATTTCAGAGTCAGATGTAGCTATGACAGTACAAATCTACTCCACACAGCTGTGATGAGAATTAAATGAGCTAATACATGTAAAGTGCTTAGAATAGGGTCTGACACACAGCAGCCCTCAGTAAATATGAGTTATTATTACTTTACCATGTCCCACTTTGACCTGCTCTATGTGCCTTGGGAAGCAAGGAAGAATAAGTGACAGAGAAAACAGAAAAGCCCCCTTCCTCTGATGCTCACACACCCTAACCCCCACAGGTCTATCTCTTACAGGGGGAGAGAGGCCTAGATCTAGCCATTTGGGATCTTTACATGAAACCTGCTCTGCTCCTATTGTGCCAATCATGAAAAGGAATCAGGATTTTCTCAGAATCTCAAAAGCCAATCTGGTGAGCCAACTATTACTAACCCTTAGCAGATATGAGGGATTACTGTGGGATTTAGAGGGGGAATCCCACTCACACCAGAAAGAAGAGATGAGTGAGAGGCATATACAGCAGATTAATGGTATCAGACTGACCAAGGATGACTGAGGAGGAGATGGCAAAGACAAGCAGCCAGCAGCAACACCAGGGAGCCTGACAAGCAGACTGACAGACTGGAGAATCCCCTTTAATCTAATCAGGAGTTTCACACTTCTTTCTGATTTGCCATGTAAACTTATTCAGCCCAGCCCTGGAGGAGTCCACGAAGGTCCCTTCTTGCACTAACAGTTTGTGATTCTAAAGAATGCTGAACTTGAGTTAGCAGTGGTGTCTAAATGAGGAGTGTTGCATTGTGTTTCACGTATATTTTTTCCAAATGTGAAAGAAAACAACAGAATTTCCAGTGTAAAATGGAACATAATGCCAATGTAAATAATTTACATTCTACCTGAGATTTTAGGAATAGACTTCAGAAAGATTTCTTAGGAAAGAAATATCACCATTAAAATCACAGTTGAAGAACGCAAGAGATAAGTAATATCCTCAGGGGTCTACAACATACTCAGAACTGTTTTGAGCCTCAGCAGCAGCACCCTGATGAGGTGCAGAGGGGAGAAGAAAGAACTGTCTCAATGAGGAATTTTAGCTATGTGACTAGAACAAGTGCTAGACTGCTATGGACTATGCAAATGGATTTACTAGAGCTCTTACCAAATACAAAACTAGAATGCAAAATTCTACTGTGACTTCATTCACATTTGTTTGTTTGTTTGTTTGTATGCTGGGGATCAAACCCAGAGCCTCCCACATGCTAGGCAAGTGCTCTACCACCCCCAGCCTCCATTCACATTTTAAGCCATCCTTACACTATAAAGTCCTTTCTTTCTATAGTGGGTGCTCAATGTATAAGACTTATAAAGAAGAAGGAAGAAGAAAAAAGAGGAAAGAAGGAGGAGCAACTGAAAGAGTCAATAGCTCCTCCAAGAGGGTAGCTGGTTTTACCTGAAGTTACACATCTTTCCGGTGAATTACATAGAACCTGAGTCTGAAGATAACTTGGTCAATTATACAGCTGTGTTTACAAGATCATGTATGTGAGCCAAGGGTTGGGGTTCTAAAATGGGCCTGAGATAAGCTGCATTTTAGAACAACTGGGATACAGATAATATGTCATAATACTGGTGAGGTATTATCATTAAATAATTAGGTTTTATTTCTGTTTTTTTTTGTAATTTCAAATTCACCATTTTAAATACCATACATTGATTATTACAAGTGTTAAAATGTCAAGTACTAAATTTTCTATTGCTCTGACTTCATATCCCAATGCTCCTGTGTACCTTATCTTTGTATACTGTCTTCAATCATAACTAAATCCTATTGTATAATAAATGCAGTGAATGCAAATCTCTCATATTTTCACCAAAGGGAGGACCATCTCCTAAACATTGCAAAGAAAATGTTATCCATCATTTCTATCTATATTGTTCATACCCTCTGAAAGAATGCTTGTTAAGTCAGTTAATAAATGAGCATAGAATTCAACCCAGCTATTACAAATTACAAAACATATTGAGTTACCCAAAGTAATTAGTAATGCAAAAGACATTCTATTTAGTTTCCGCAAGCTGACAGTATAGATGTAAATCATAAATCAGGTTTTTGGAACTGAGTTACAATGACATTGTTTATGACTACACAGAAACATTTAACATTGGAGTACCAGTATGTATACTAAGACTATTTGACTAAAAAACACTCTTTTCAAGGTAATATAAAATTAAGAATATAAAGCACAAACTGAAATATCAAAATATTGATATCCTACCTGAACATCTTTGTATTTGTCTCTTAAGTCCAAGAGCCGGTGATAAGCTTTTATGGCTTCTGAAAATTCCCCGACATCAGTACTGGTGAGGATATAATTTTCCCAGATCTGCCAGTGTTCATAGTTACACTTGAGAGCTTCTTGTAAAGTTCTAAAAGCTTTTACTCTATTGAAGATCAAATTTTAAAGAGAGTAATAATGAACTCGTTTTATTAGGAAAAAAACACAGCTAAGCATATAGGATGCAAATGTGAACTGTCAGTCCATCATTCATGCTAATAAATAAAATGAGAACCCCCAAATAACCCCAAACCACCTCAGATTCCCTTATAAAATCTGACAGATCTTTTGGCATTTATAGCATACCTACAGAGAGATACTCCTTTTTTAATCTATTTATTGGGAACAAGGACCTTATTTTATAATGGAGTGTCAATTTCACTGTCACCCCAGGACCTCTCCTAGGGTGAAGCTCCAGATTTGAACTCAGAGTGGCCTAGCAAGTACAACTGCAAACCTGAAAGACAAAAAGTAGGGGCCTGGCAGTAGTGGAGGGACCAGAGGTGAGGAAGGGTCAAAACAAAACAAAAAGTTCCTTATAGTCTTAAGTGAACCTACAAGACAAAATTCTACAACCTGTGGGGGAAAACTACACTAGGAAAGACAGTTGACAAAATTAGTGGACAAGACACAAATTTACTAAATAAAATTAATTTTAAGAAACAATATATTCTAGGTGTGGTGATGCACACCTGAAATCCCAGCACTCAAGAATCATGAAAACAGAATTGTTTTGTTTAAAATGCTAATGAACTGGATGAGAATAGTGAGAAGTTCACATAGAATTCAGATTTTAAAATAGAAGAACACTGAGGATAGAAAGAGACAGAACAGAATGAAGTTACCTCAGACTTACATCTATAGAAACTCCAGAAGAAATGAATGCAAAAAATGGCAAGATGTAATATATCAAAAAGATAATAGCTGAGTAATTTCCAGAACTGAATAAAGATCCAAACTGTATGAACAAAAAAGTATATTTCATTATCAAGCAATACAGACATATTGTAGAACATTGTAAAATCTACAAAGTACTAACAATTACAGAATAGCAGATGTTTCTTCAGCAACAAGATGATAGAAGGCAATAGATCAAGTGGTAGAGCACCTGCCTAGCAAGTTTGAGGGCCTGAATTCAAAACCCAAGTACTGCCAAAAAAAAAAAAAAAAAAACCCAACAGTATAGTTCTTTTAAAGAGATGATTGAAACTGTCAGTCTAAAATTTTATTACCATCTAAACTTGCCACTCACAAGTAAATGCAAAATTAAACATTTTTAAATGAACAAAGACCAAGTGAGTTTCCCATCTACTGACTCTAACTAAAAGAACTACTAAAGGATCCTTCTTATAAAAAAAGGGGGGAGGGGATTCAAAAAGAAAGAAGTAACATCTTCAAAAACTGAACATAAATTGTTTCCACGGGATTTTTCCCTTTTTCTTTCTCTATTCCACCTCTTACCACTACCTCCCCGAAACAGCTACTGCCTTTTCAACAGTGGTGGATCTCAGTAGGGGGCTCAGATCTCCCATTTACAAAGGAGCAGACATCAAGTTATCTTCTTGAAAAACGGCTCAACAAGCAGCAATCTACACCATGAGGATATCTTTCCACCTGTATGTCCTGTAATACTCTTAAGCACATACAAGCGCCTGTCTTCAAAAAAATTTTAATGAATTTTTATTTTGATAAGTATAGCCTCTTTATAAACAGCTTCATTTTGGAATTCACTAATTAAATCCACCATGGTGGAAATACTACACTATGAAAATTATATACAAAATGGGAAGTTTTCCCAAGGGATTGGTGGGGACCTAATGCCTGGGGAAATCAGATGGAAAAGTGAAAAGAGTACTTTAGCGACGAACCCTGTGATAACAGAGGGATGAATGACATAGTTTATAACAGGCCACTTTAAGGCATGTTTCTCTTGAAACAGTAATAATTTACCTCTAATGTAATAACTTGACTCGTGAGTCAAGAATTACCTAAGGTTGGACCAGTAGGCAAAGATAGGAAAGAGTAAAATTTAAGGCGAGAATAACAGAATATTTGACTTTACACCCCTACTTTTACAAGGAAACCTATTCATGGAGCTGCAGAAAGACAAGAAAGGATTGAGAAGAGGTTGAAGAACAATATGCAAGAATTGTTCAGAAAGAATTCTTGAGATTACTGGCCTGGAAGACAAGGCAGAGTATAAAAGGCCTAACTATGTACAAAATTATCTGGGCTACCGGGAAAAAAAATCTCTGAGATCATTCAATAACTATGTCAGGGATTTCCCTCACCTATTCCAGTAGGTTTTAACACAATCAGTTACAATTAAGAACATAATATTATTTTCTGAAGAGAACAGTATCTCAAACAATACTTTATATGGATTGTCATCCAAGAGCAGAGGAAGCATTTCATGATTTCAATGTAATATGGATTTATTGACATTTTCAGAAATATCTTGTGATTCCACAAAGAAAAATTAAGTTGAAAATAAGACCAAATAAAAATGGAAATATATCCATCCTTTAGTTAACTTAGTAGAACTCTGGCATTAACAATTCTTGTCTCTTCCCTTGTCTTCACTTTCCCTAGCCAGGCAATAGGCCTCATTGGTTGCCCCTTTTAAAACTGTTGGGTATCTGCCTGTTCTTTTTCCACTCTAGTTCTCTCAAGCCTGGATGATTACAACAGCTGTCTCTTAACTAGTTTCCCAGCTTCCAGTTTCCTCTCTAGTCTGTCTCACATTGGCACCAGGTAAATTTTCCTAAAAAGCTTCTTTCTTTATGCAATTAACACCCCGCCCCCCAACACACACAAAATCTCTGACTTCCTATTATCAACAGAAATGGTCTCAACTTATTAGTCAGAAAATCAGAACATGTAGCAATTTGACCCCAACCTACCTTTCCAACGTTTTCTCTAACTATAGATCTGATACTACGTTATAGCTGAACCACTTTACTTCTTATCTCCTAGAATAATTCACTCATTTCTGTCATTCTCCATTTGGTCACATTATTTCCTTTGCTTATAAGACTTTCCTTTGTCCCCTGAGCACATCCTTCAAATTTAGCTCATGGTGAGTCTCACATCAGTGCCTCTGAACCAGGATTATACTTTCTCTCTTCTGAGACCCTCATGGGATTAAATAAGGGTCTGACACAAATACCATCTGCTATTATTATAGTTCCCTTTGTATTCTCACTTGATATCTACCACACACAGCTTATACTACTAGTCAATTTTAAAAACAGTGTAGCATATTATTTTATTTCTTAAACCTACATTTCCTGAAGATACAGGTTAATATTTAGATTTTTCAATAATGTCTAGTACCAAGAAAGAAACTAATAAGAAATCTATTGAGTTGACCAGCTAAAGGCATGCTTGCTTTTATCATGTAATAAAACTTAGGATGCAAAATTTCAGGACAAAAAAAGAGTTCAAGCACTTTATTATTTCAGTACATACTAAATGTTTAAAAAAATAAACTATACATGTAGAATTCAAAAGGCCCTATTAAGTTATTCTAACTCTTACACAAGGGTGGGACAAATTAAAACAAGGAATAAGTAAGACACAATGTTTCATTATTCAGCTGGAGACAATCTCATTCATATATTTTGGAAGCAACATCCTTTGGATTTGTCTGATGTACTTACTTTTGCTTTAATCGGATATAGGAAGTTGATAAATTATTCCAAGCCTCAGCATTCTGAAAGAATAGAGAACTCAGTTAGACTATTCTCATTTAGGTAAAATATTTGCTGAAACCAAAATATAACGCATTTTCTTAGTTGGATATATGCTCTTAAAAATCAGAATTTTTAATGAGCTATGTTTAAAGATAAAAGCTATTAAATTGACTTTTACAATATAAAAAAAGGTTTAAAAATTCAACTAATGATATAACTAATTTGGAATTCAGTTAAGATTTTTTTCAATTTAGGTTTATAAGATAGTTGGAGATTTTACAATATAATTTATATTATATATAGATTTATTATTTAAATCTAAGGCAATATAAAATATCATTTTTCCAATCAATATTACAGTAGAGAAGAATAAAAGATCCCAAATAGTACAAGTAGTTGAGCAAAAAGAGCAAGGCTGGAAATGTCACAATACCAGACTTCAAATTATATTACAGAGCCACAGTAACAAAAACAGACATGAAGACCAATGGAACAGAATAGAAGACCCAGAGATAAACCCACACAGCTACAGCCATCTGATCTTTGACAAAGGAGCCAAAAACACATACTGGAGAAAAAATAGCCTCTTCAACAAATGGTGCCAGCACCATGCAGAAGACTGAAACTAGATCCCTATTGCTCATCCTGTACAAAAATCAACTTCAAAAATGTATCAATGATCCTAAAGTAAGACCTGAAACTTTGAAACTGCCACAGGAGAAAATAGGAAAAACTCTGGAAGATATGAGCATACGTCATTGTTTTCTGAATAGGACACCAACTGTCCAGGAAATAAAAGCTAGAATTGACAAATGGGACTGCATAAAATTAAAAGTTTCTGCACATCAAAAGAAACAATAAACAGATTCAAGAGACAGCCCATAGAATGGGAGAAAATCTTCACCAGCTATTCAATAGATAAAGGATCAATATCCAGAATATGTGAAGAACTCAAAAAACTAAACAGTCAAAGAACAAATAACACAATTTATAAATAAGCAAATGAATTGAACAGACAGTTCTTAGTAGAAGAAATTCAAATGGTGAAAAAATACATGAAGAAATGATCGACATTCTTAGCCATAAAGAATGCAAATCAAAACTGCACTAAGATTTTGTCTCAACTGGCAATCAAAAAAATAAACAACAAATGTTGGCAAAGATGTGGGGAAAAGGAACCCTCATACATTGTTGGTGGGAATGTAAATGAGGTCAACTACTAGGGAAATCAGTATGGAGGTACCTCAGAAAACTAAAAATTGGAGGTGTGGCTCCAGCAAGTACAGCACCTGCTTTGCAAGTACAAAGCCCTTAGTTCCAACCCCAATCCCACCAAAAACAAAACAAAAACTAAATACAGGCCTCCTTCTGATCCCATCATACCTTCCTTGTTCATACATCTAAAGGAATGCAAATCAATGTACAAGAGAGATACCTGCACACCTGTGTTTACTACAGCTTGATTCACAGTAGCTAAACTGTGGAATTAGCCAAGATGCTTACCAACCAATGAATGAATAAAGAAAACATAATGTGTGTGCACAAACACGTATATCCACACAACATGGAATGTTACTCAGCCATTGAGAAAAATGAACTTATGTTATGTGCAGGAAAACAGAACTGGAGATCATCGTGTTGAGTAACATAAGTCAAGCTCAAAAAACAAATATCTCATGTTCTCACTCATTTGTGGAACCTGGACCTAAAATTATGATGATGATCATATATAAAGTTTCATACATGGAATTAAAAACAAAAGGCACAGGACCTCTTTCAGACATGGCAAATTAGTATTGGACTAGCTTTCTCCCCATGAAAAAAGTGCATATTGGACAAAATGTAAGAAACAACTGCTTTTGAGAAGTTGAATTAGTCACAGCCAGTACTCCTGTGATTCTAGAGAGAAGGGAAGAAACTAAGTGTCTCAACAATCAACCTAGTCTTCTGATTGGAGGCACTTTCAGGGCTACAGCATAAGCAAAACACAGCAAGTCTTACCGAGTTGAGGAAAAAGACATCAGAGTGCAGGACTGAAAATGCAGCTGGAATTTGCAGAGCACAATACTATGGAAGAGTGATAGGCACTTCAAGAACAAACTCTAGAAATCTCAACAAGCATCTCCTAGACTCCTTGGTTGACTACTAAGCTTTACATGGGCAAAACTTTGAGTCCTAACAAAGATGAATTACCGAGAGCTATGAGCTGAATGAAAGTTCTGGAGGTCACACAGTGCTAAGGAGTTATTCAAGTTCCAACAAGAGTAGAGAGCTCTTATTGATTGTCCAGAGCATTAATTCAATCCAAGAAAGGTTACACCTTAAGACACTAGAAAATGACAATTCTAAACCCATTCTAACAAGGCTTTAAGTGAAGTGAATCCACAAGTAAATTAACTGAATGTCAAAATAAAATTAAATTTTTCTTAAGGAAGATAAGAATATCCAGAAACTCAACAATATAGCATTCACAATTTGCAGGATATAATAAAAAAGAAATAGAAGCCAGGCATGGTGGTGCACACCCAAAATCCCAGCACTTGGGAGGCACAGCCAGGAGGACCATGAATTCAAGGCTAGTCTGGGGCTACAAAGCAAAACCCTGTCTCTTAAAAAAAAAAAAAAAAAAAGGTGAAAATGCAAAAAAGGACAACTTTACCCATAACCAAAGGAAATATTAGTTAATAGAAACAGAACCAAAAAATGAAAGATATGTTAGAATACAAGGACTTACAGTAGCTATAAACATGTTCAAAGATTTAAAAGAAAATATGAACATAATGAGAGAACAGTTGGGGAATCTTAGTAGAGACATGGAAACTGTGAAAAGAACCAAATGTAAATCCCTGAACTGAAAATTCTATCATCTGAAATAAGTTTAAGACACTGGACATTGGATATTGCAGAAGTAAGAACATCTCTGAACTCGAAGAAAAGGCAATAGAAAATATTGAAACCAAAGGATAGGAAAAATATGAACAAGTGAGTTGATCGTCAAGAATGTACTGGACAATATAAGTAGTAGAAAACACTAAAATTAGAGTACCAAAAAGAAAAGAGAAAAAGAAGTTTGGGGTGTAGCTCAGTCATAGAGTGCTTGTTGAGCATGTATTTTAAGGACAAGGGTTCAATCCCCATTGCTACAAAAAATGGAATTGCTGCTCTGGACTATATAATACAATGTAGATAGCTAAAAAGAATATTAAGGAACTGAAATAAGGGAAGATGGCCAAACTTACATCAGGTTCCAAGGTCACACAACGCTGAAAGGCCTTTGCTGAGCCTCTGTAGTCTTCTAAGGCTAAGTAGGCACAGCCCAGAGAAAACCACACCCCCAGCTGCAGAGAACAAAAGTCAAAGTCATTCAAACAAATAGATACACAGGATACAATCTGGAAATTATTTAAGCTACTGTCAACAAACACACTACTACAAAGACTTCAGAGCTATATAATGAACTTTTGCCTTACATTTAAATGTAGGGATTTTAGCAATGGAAATTAATCTTTCCATGCAATTTTCAAAGTTATTATAACATGGAAAGCATCTTTTGCTGAGAAAGATTATACTTTGTGCTAACCAAATTCCTTAAAGGTAATGGAGAACTCTGTTTTAAAGCCTTTATATTAGGTGGATTTTATAAGCGTGGAATTAAGCATTTTTACTGAGCATCTACTACGTAACAAAGTATACAAAACATCAGCAGATTCACAGCTGATGAGAGTATCACAAACTTAAAAGGACACATTTTTGTTTTCCTCTCCAATTAGACCATAAGTAACTTCTGCAACCTAACCTAAGGCAAGCTACCTAGCATTTATCTGTGTTGGCGTGTGTACAAATAACCTGGAAAATATAGGCTCAGAATCTAGATTACCAGTTGTGCAAAATGTATAGCCTAACTTAAGTTAATAAAGATAGAGGTAAACACAGATTTAGAAAACAGGTAAACTAGGAAGTAGCTATTTAAGTTACAAAAGAATTCCTTACATCACAGGGTTTCCTTAAAATTCAATAGGCCCTATCAAAAGGAAGATAAAACTGATTAAAAATTTCAATGACATTAGTCAGAAATGCAGCTATTATGAGTTAAGTTTGTTTTCCTTTCAGACATAAAGCCAGCAGTAGATGTAAGGTCACCTTCTTATGACTCCCTGCATAAAGGCGGGGACACTTGAGTGGGAAAGGAAATGAGGTGCTCTGTATCTGGCCCCAGCCAGAGGCAGAGGTCCTCTATATCCCCTTTCCCTCAGCCATTCCCACAAAACTTGTTCCATATGGCTGGCTGGGACCTGAAATCTTTTTAAGCACATAAAGATTTTTAGCGATAATTAGAGATAAGGTTTAGAAAGCAAACATCCTTGGGCAATTTAACACTTCGCCCTGAATTCACAAGGGGCTATAAATAACTGCTATCTAGAGCTTTATGGAGAACACATTTTGTTGGAGGGATAGGTAAAGCCTGAAAAGAAGGTGGTATGCATCTGGTGGGTGGAGTAGAGTCACTAAATTGACACTGAAAGAGGTTCACTTTTCTGAATTACAGGACTCCCAGCAACTTCAAAATGAGCTCACCACTTTGCATTCATCCGTTATTTATACAATCAAATCAAAAGTGCTTCAATGCACCAGTGTATTTCCCTGAACACCACACAGACTGAGAGGAACATAATATATAAAATGAGCCACAAACGTTCAACCAAGCTGAGGATTTCAAAACCTGTTATATTTCATCAATTCTAAAGCAGTCTTTTTTCCCCCACCATTTGATACCCTTGAAACAGAGATGAATTTTGTCAGAGTTTTATCTGCAGTAGTTTTGTTTATCTACATAAAATGGTACTTAAAATCTCCTTACAATCAATGGCATCTTAGAGAGGATAAATTATGGTAGAAAGTTTACCTGGAATGAGGGCTAGCTCATCTCATGCTGGTACTAAATTAGGAACAGTGAGAGCCCTCAAGGTGTTCAAAACACTAGTTTTCTGCATTAGCAAAGAACAAATACTCTTTCCCATGTATTTTTATGAAATCCAGGAGAGAAAGTTAAGATTTAAATAAAGAACTTTAGTTTTCAATCTACCTGAAAAGATTAACAAATGTGCAAATATCCAAAATTAGCAATAATCACACAGTCCTAAAACAGACTGGTGATGAGACTTAGTTACCTTAAGTTTTTAAAATCAGTTAGTGTTTTGTAACCAGTATCTCAACACCAAAACAAATTTAATGAAAATCAGACATGATTTAATTTAACATAAAGCATTATTTTGATTATAGTTCTCTTTTCTTTTTACCCTTGATAATTTTTGAGGGTTTTTTGTTTGTTTGGTTTGGTTGTTTTGAGACAGTGGCCTCCGACTTCCTGATCCTCCTGCCTCAGCCTTCCAAGTGCCAAAATTATAGGCAAGCACCTCCACACCTAGTTTTTTAGTTGTTTAAATAATTTGCATTGAACAAAAATCCTAGGACCGATATATTTCATCTACTGATAACATACAATTATGAGAAAGAAGTCTTCACACACCCTATTCTTTGAAATCATACAAAGCTCTTCTTTCTTAAAATTCTAGGATCTTCTAATTGCCTATGGCTGACCCACTAAATCATTCATATTTTGCTTCTCAGTTGAGGTCTTCAGAATCTGGGGGACTAAGGAGAATACCTGGTGCCTCTTTCGCTTTTTACACTTTAAAATTTTTACTTAAACTATTACTATCAATGGCTGGCATTTTAATCCAGGATGAACTCTTATGAACAGAACATCATAAAAAATAATCAAGAGAACCCTCAAAAAACCTTCATGCAAGTCCTCAAAATAGAGTTGAATTGCTTGAGTACCAAGATCTCGATTATCTAGCCCAGAATTATCAGACAGAAATAGAAAGCTAGCATGATTACATGTTCTAGTGGCTACATTTTTTAAAAAACTAAACCAAGTGCAGTGGCTCACGCCTATAATCCTAACTACTTAGTAGGCAAAGATCAGAAGAATCAAGATTCGAGGCCAGACCTAGCAAACACTAGGAAAGACCCCATTTCAACCAATAAAAAGCTGGGTGTGGTGGCACACACCTGTTCTCCTGGCTACATGGAGAACATGTACCTAAACAGGAGGTACATATCTAGCCTGTGGGGGATCAGCAGGTAGGGGAGCGGGAAATGGGATGATGAGACCATATTCAAAAAATACCTAGGGCTGGAGTGTGGCTCAAGTGGTAGAGCACATGCCTAGAAGCAAAAGGCCCTGAGTTCAAATCCCAATGCCTCCCAAAAAAAGTAAATAAATGGGTGAAATATGTCAATAATATTTAATTCTTAAGGACATGAGGAAGTGATAAATGATCTTAAATGTATATGAAAAATTAGGGCTGGGATACAGCTTAGTGGTCTCACTGGTAGAGTGCTTGCCTAGCATGCGTGAGGCCCTGGGTTTGATTCCCAGCATCAAAAAAGTAAAGACAAAAAAAAGAGAATATGAAAAAAATGAAGCACAATCAAGGGCAGGAGAGTTGGAGATATACCTTTCCTGGTATCTTGATAACAAAGAGTGTTTTCTTTTGATTTTATTTTTTGTAACCATACAGAGAGAACGAAGTAAAAATAAACTCTACATCACACACACACACACAAAAATAATAATAATATTTAATTCTGCATATCCAAAATGAATTACTTCAACATATTATTAATATACAAAATTGAGGTACTTTATGTTTTTCATACTAAGTCTTTGAAATCTGATGTGTATACAATACTTACACTGTGTCTCAATTTTAACGTGCTTCTGACTACGGTACTGGGGAGCAAAGTTGTAGACTACTTCTCTGAAACATCCAGAGGCCCTGGAATCCTTCTCTTCTTTCTTAAGCAAGAAAATAAGCTCCTCTGGCTAAGACCCTCCCTGAAACTCCAACCTTTCATATACTATATCATCCACTCCTGTTCCTTTCTCTACAACAGTAACCAAGATAATTAGCCCTTAATGAGTGTCTACCATGTGTGCCAAGCACTGAAACCATGGGCTTTCCATACAGTACTTCATGTATTCCTCACAACAACTCTGTAAGGTATCACAATCACTGAGGAGATTCGACCCATCAGTGTGAGTGATTACAACATCCATGAGTTCGCCATATCATCTCTCACAGCTCCATCCTGCCCCCACACAGGCCAGAATTTATGGCAATACCATCCTTGTACCAGTAAGAGCACAAGAGAAACAACAGTATAGGTAACATGTCCTGGAAACACCGAAGATAGCACATTTTTAAGAACATATCTCTTTTCCCCCCAAAGACCCTCTTGATTGGGCTCTGCAGGTAGACAAAGAAGCAGAAGAAACGAGCATGTTTAGGTGGAAGGAAGAGCTGAAAGAAAAACTTATAAAAGGGACTGGGCAACTGTATAGCTATCCTTATCTCAACCAGCAAAAACCCTTGTTCCTTCCTATTATTGCTTATACTCTCTCTACAACAAAATTAGAAATAAGGGCAA